TTTCATATGAAGAAAGACTAACAAAGCTTAAGTTGCATTCACTGGAAAGGCGAAGAGTTAGGGGTGACATGATAAAGGTTTACAAGTGGATGAATGGACATAACAAAGGGGATATAAGAACATAAGAACAAAGGTAACTGCAGAAGGCCTATTGGCCCATACGAGGCAACTCCTATTTATAACCACCCAATCCCACTCATATACATGTCCAACCCATGCTTGAAACAATCGAGGGACACCACCTCCACCACGTTACACGGCAATTGGTTCCACAAATCAACAACCCTGTTACTGAACCAGTATTTACCAAAGTCTTTCCTAAATCTAAACTTATCCAATTTATACCCATTGTTTCGTGTTCTGTCTTGTGATGATATTTTTAATACCCTATTAATATCAGTCAGGTGCAGTCACAGTGAGAGGTTGTGTTAGCTGGAGCTCCGATTCTAATAACATTATTATTGCAATAATGGAAGGATTAGTAAAAAATTTGGTGAGTCTGGTTGGAGCTCTGAGAGCAGAGATGGATTCCCTGCGGGAGGAGGTACGACGGCTACGACTTCGGGAGGAAACGAAGGAGGAGGCCAGTGTTCTCGGGACCTCATTAAGAAGGACTGACGAGACCAGTATTAAGAAGTCCTCGTCTTGGCAAGTTGTGAAAGACAGGGGTCTTAAGAAGACCTTGGCAAAACCGACAACTAATAGCCTACACCTAAGAACTTTTAACGCATTTGACGTATTAGAGGACGAGACTTACTCTGTGCCAAAGTCGATATTTCTCATAAGAACATAAGAACAAAGGCAACTGAAGAAGGCATATTGGCCCATACGAGGCAGCTCCTATTTATAACCACCCAATCCCACTCATATACATGTCCAACCCGCGCTTGAAACAATCGAGGGACCCCACCTCCAGCACGTTACGCGGTAATTGGTTCCACAAATCAACAACCCTGTTACTGAACCAGTATTTACCCAAGTCTTTCCTAAATCTAAACTTATCCAATTTATACCCATTGTTTCGTGTTCTGTCTTGTGTTGATACTTTTAATACCCTTTTAATATCCCCTTTGTTATGTCCATTCACCCACTTGTAAACCTCTATCATGTCACCCCTAACTCTTCGCCTTTCCAGTGAATGCAACTTAAGCTTTGTTAATCTTTCTTCATATGAAAGATTTCTAATTTGGGGAATTAACTTAGTCATCCTACGCTGGACACGTTCAAGTGAATTTATATCCATTCTATAATACGGCGACCAAAACTGAACTGCATAATCTAAATGGGGCCTAACCAGAGCAAGATATAGCTTGAGAACCACACCAGGTGTCTTGTTACTAACGCTGCGATTAATAAATCCAAGTGTCCGATTCGCCTTATTATGAACATTTATGCATTGATCCTTTTGTTTTAAATTCTTACTAATCATAACTCCCAGATCCCTTTCGCAATCCGACTTCGCAATCTCAACACTATCTAGCTCGTATCTTGTAACTCTATCATCATTACCTAACCTCAGAACTTTACATTTATCAGCATTAAACTGCATCTGCCAATCCTTTGACCATTTCAAAACCCTATCTAGATCAACTTGAAGTGATAGTGAATCCTCCTCCGAATTAATTTCCCTACCGATTTTCGTATCATCGGCAAATTTGCAAATGTTGCTACTCAAACCTGAATCTAAATCATTTATATATATTATAAACAACAGAGGTCCCAGGACAGAGCCCTGAGGTACCCCACTTACAACATTTTCCCACTCTGACTTGACTCCATTTATACTAACTCTGTTTCCTTTGGTATAGCCATGCCCTAATCCAGCTTAATATAGCACCCCCAATACCATGAGACTATCTTTTTAATCAGTCTTTCATGTGGCACTGTATCAAAAGCTTTGCTAAAGTCAAGGTACACAACATCACAATCCTTATCACTATCAACTGCCTCAACTATGCTAGAATAAAAAGATAACAAATTTGTTAAACATGAACGGCCATTTATAAAACCATGTTGCGACTCAATTACTAATTTATGTTTTTGAAGATGAAGACGAACTTTATTTGCTATTAATAGATTCGAGTAACTTTCCCACAATAGACGTTAGGCTAATTGGTCGATAGTTAGACGCAAGTGATCTATCTCCTTTCTTAAAAACTGGTACCACATTAGCAACTTTCCAAAACTCTGGCACTGTCTGACTCCATTGATTTATTAAATATGGTTGACAGTGGGTCACAAAGCTCCTCTTTGCATTCTTTAAGCACCCTGGCAAACACTTCATCCGGCCCTGGGGATTTGTTTGGTTTGAGTTTTACTATTTGTTTAAGAACATCCTCCCTGGTAACTGCTAAACTCGTCAACCTGTCCTCGTCCCCACCCACATAGACTTGTTCGGCTGAAGGCATACTGTTAAGTTCCTCTTTAGTAAATACAGATACAAAATATTTATTAAAAATACTACTCATCTCTTCATCACAATCTGTTATTTGACCTGTCTCAGTTTTTAATGGACCTATCCTTTCCCTAGTCTTATAGTCCTAGTCATAGGGCAAAGCTTTTAGTTGTAGGCAAGTCTTGAAACTCTGTTGAGCCTTAACAAATATAATGCAATCACTACGTGCAATATACTACCGATTCCACTTTTAATGTGCAGTCTCTCTCTCTCTCTCTCTCTCTCTCTCTCTCTCTCTCTCTCTCTCTCTCTCTCTCTTTGTAATTTGGTTTTATCTCAGAGGCTAAAATAATTTTTTACAGTAATAAACAATATTTACTTTTGTTACCATATTAAACCATAGATTTTTTATTATTAGGAATAAAATTCGATTAAGTCAAAGCAAAGATTGGGCCTACATAGGTGTGCTCAATGCAAGTAACACTGACCCTGATAAAAAAGACCAAATCATGGCAGAATTAGCCATGTATGAGGATGACATACAGGAAAAGTTCAATCCTCTACTCAATTTACTAAGTGCACATAAAGTAACACCTAACTCAATGTGTTTCAATCGAGTACAGCACAGTCAAGAATACCTCTTCTAGACCTACCAACCTTTGCTGGACTGGATGAAGAAAATTTGGGACACTTTTTGGATGTCTTTTAATGCTCATGTAACTTCTAAAACAGCCATCTTAGAGGTGAAAAAGTTCACATACCTTCAAAGCCTCCTTAGAGGGGAGGCCAAGAAGGTGATAACTAATCTGTCTCTTGATGATGACACTTATGATATAGCTATACAGTTGTTGGAAAATTATTACCACACCAAAAAATTAAGTATAGCTAATCTTTTTAATCAACTAACGGATTTAAATCCTCCTAGAAATAGACCAGACTCTCTTCAAGACTTTAGGTTAGAGGTGGAGTCTCTTATGAAAGCCCTTAGCACTAAAATAGAAGTGCAGGCCTCCGAATGGTCATTAAAACTGCTCAACCAGAGGAAACTTCCACGGGATGTTTTAGCAGAAATTTGCACTCACTACAAAACTGATATCCTCTCCCCTGATGAGATTTTTGAGGGATTGAGAATAACTGTCAACCGGCTAAAAGCTCATGACAGAATAAAATCTGACACTAACAGGTCTCCTACTGATAAGTCAGTGAGGCCAAAGAGTGCCACAAATAAAACCAATAAACATGAAACATCTAGTACCACTCCTAGGTGGAAAAACAGCAGTGTGGGTACTTACACAGTGAGTCCCTCCAAACCTAGTCACTGTGTCACCCAAGGCAGTGACTCCTGAAACTACTGTAGGAGGGAGAGACTGTTTTTTCTGTCAAGGGGAACATTCATTGTACCACTGCCAAACTTACCCTGATCGTACTACCAGAATAAAGCATCTTAAAGTCTCCGTGGTGTAGTGGTAAGACACTCTCCTGGCGTTCCGCGAGCGCTATGACATGAGTTCGTATCCTGGCCGGGGAGGATTTACTGGGCACAATTCCTTAACTGTAGCCTCTGTTTAACGCAACAGTAAAATGTGTATTGGATGAAAAAACGATTCTTCGCGGCAGGGGATCGTATTCCAGGGACCTGCCCGAAACGCAACACGTACTAGTGGCTGTAGAAGAATGTAACAACTCTTGTATATACCTCCAAAAAAATAAAAAATAAATAGTTGCACAAATGCTTAAAATCAAATGACCCCAGTACCTGTGCAACACCACTACACACATGCAACACGTAACATAAGGCTCAACACCGTACGGTACTGTGTGGAGACACTAGACCAAGGTCGCCCAAACCCCAAGTGGAAGAAAAACTCCCAGCACAATGTAGTACTGTAACGTATGACAGGAAGTAAACGTACTAACCACAAAGTCCGACAATAACGTGACTTTACCAACTGCTCAATTACACCTAACAAACAAAAGGTCCAAGATCACCACTCGTGGTTTATTTGATCAAGGCTCTCAAAAGACGTTTGTCACCAAGAAGCTGGCAGAGGTCTTAAAACTTAAACCTATACGTCAAGTAAAATTAAGCATCTCAGGGTTCATGACCCACATGGGATCCGAAGATTATAACATAGAGAGACCTCTAGTACACCTTAGTGGCTATACCTGACCAGTACAGGCCATAGTGGTTGACAAAATCCCATCTGACCTGTATGTTCATGGTCTAGGGAACACAAAACAAACTCCTTCAAAGTAAAGGCATTAAGTTGGCTGATAATAAAATCAAGTCTGACCATCTCACCGATATAGGTATACTTGTAGGGGCAGATTATTACCATAAATACATCACTGGAAGAACTAAACGACAGGGGAATACACCTGCTATTGTCTGCAGGAAGTAAATTGCTCACAGGCCCAATATTGAGCCTGAAGCAACCAATATCTGCAAACATTAAACAAGTGAACCCAGTGACGGTTGCGTGACTAGGCTTAGAGCAATCACCACTTAAATTCAGTGACATGTCCAAGGATGAGCTCGATCCCCCTGTACTCAAGTTATGGGTTCTAGACACCTTAGGCATTGACCCTCAACAACCCAGTCCAGATGATACATGGACACAAACAATACCCAGACTCGGTTATCCACAAAGAAAATCAATTCTGGGTCAGGCTACCATGGAAGTTGAATCATCAGCAACTTCCATTAAATCTCTTCATGGCACTAAACCAAATGAAATCACAGGTGTTGCACTTTAACAGACAACCTGATAAATTAAAATTGTGCCATGAGATAATCCAACAACAGCTCAATAACAAATTCATCAAAGTTTTTACAAATGATAACCCTAAGGAAGGACACTATTTGCCACATCATGCCGTACTAAAAGATTCAATTACCACGCCTATAAGAATCGTGTTTAACTGTAGTGATAAAGCTAAACAAAATAGTGTCTCATTGAATGACTGCCTTCAAACAGGTCCAAGCCTAACACAGAGGCTATATGATGTGCTGTTAAGGTTTTGCATAGGGACTTATGCATACAAGGCCAACATCAGTAAGGCATTCCTTAAGGTAGGTCTACAAGAAGAAGACTGTAATTATATTAAGTTCCTATGGATCAAGGATCCCTGTGATCCACTCAGTGAAATGATCACATACAGATTTGCTTCAGTTTTCTTTGGTGCTACTTCTTCAACGTTTCTGCTTCAAACAACCTTAGATAAGCATTTGAAGAAGTCTAATAGTCCAAATAAAATTGAAATTAGCAATAACCTGTATGTAGATAATTTCCAGGGAACTACCAACAGTGACAAAACTGCTAAATGTATATCATGAGGCTAATCAAGAGTTGATGGGAGCAAATATGCCTCTCCAGTCATGGGCCTCTAATAATCCTAAATTAAATCAACTATTTGAAGCCGAGTTTCCCAACTACAAGGTACCTCAAAAATTAAAAGTACTAGGAGTTGAGTGGGATACAACTTCAGATGAGTTAACTATTCAGTCGGTGGAACCAGATATGGCCAACTTAACTATGAGGAAACTGTTATCACAAGTCAGCAAACCGTTTAACCCTTTGGGTCTAGTAAGTCCCATATTAATTAAGGGTAAACTGCTTATGCAGGAATGCTGGCAAAATAAATTCGGTTGGGATGATCCGTTACCCAGTGCCTTACTAGAAAAATGGCAACAGTTAACAACGAATCTAGGTATCCTAAACAACCTTAAGTTCCCTCACAATACAGTAGACCCAGATCAACCTATCAACCTACAAGTGTTTTGTGATGCCTCAGGAAAGGCATATGGCTCTGTAACCTATTTAGAGACAAATGAGCAAGCCATACTGCTCACATCCAAAGCTAGGGTGGCACCGTTAAAGAAACGGTCATTGCCACAATTAGAATTAACCAGCCTACTGGTAGGAGTTAGATAGGCTCATTACCTGACCAAAACCTTTGATAACCTCCACCTTACAGAAGCAGTGGTATGGTCAGATAATGAGGCAGTCTTACAGTGGGTGATAAATTATAATAATAAAACTCCCTACATAAGTAATCACGTTAGGGAAATAAAGGAATTGTCAGCTGGATACAAACTTTTAACCACTGTGATGCACTGAGTTCATTGTGAAATTCTCCCCTGTGCTCATGAAATCAAGTGTTCCCAAAAAATTTTTTTTCTTATTAAATTGATGAATTCCCTTCCCTAAACATGTATAAAAAAATAAATGTCAAATTCCACTTACTTTGGCCATGAGGACGTGGACAAGGTGCGCTGTGACGTCATCAAGGGCTGGTTGCCCGTGCGTGAAGCTCCCAGACACAGTCACTCGGGCCATTCATGACCCACCAATTGCCACAATTATATTTACAAATATTATTTCTATGTATTTTCAATGCTTTCTAATGTTTTTTTTTCTATCGTATCAGATGTATATATGTGTCCTGACAATATTTATAAAGCATAACATCCATAATGTTCCATAGAACTGTGATACATGTGTCACTAATGTGTCCTCGATAAATGTTTATTGTTCCAATATTACTTGTTCTACATTCACTAATAATACATTATATACAGTTTCACACACTATTTACAAAGTAACACACTGTATTACACTCTTAGTAATTAGCAAGTGAGTGATATTCAAAGAAGCAGTCCATGAGACACAGCGGGACTTTGCACTCGATGCATATGGTACACACAGATTTTCGCTTCCTTGTTTTTCGTTCTGAGTTCTTGCAAACAATGCACTCACGTATGCCTTTGGCCTTAGTTCCTGTAGGTGGTAGGTAGGCAGGCTTGTGAATTGCAAAGGTATCTTTACCAGCCAGTCTGTTGGAAACTAAATGTGGTCTTGTTGGGGCATGAAAAACTGTCCTTACATTATCTTCCTGGCCATACTTGATGAGTAATTGCGACAGCAGAGCATGAATAAACACTCAAATTTATGTTTTTTTTGCCCGTTTTCACCAAAAACATGTTGAAACAGTTAAGCACTGTTTCGTCCACAAGATGAAAGAAGAATTTCCTTGTCCACTTTACACTTTTGCGGACACACTCGACAGCACCAACCATCATGTCACATTTATCTACAAGTCTCATATTTATATTGTAGTCAATGACACAATCTGGCTTATACAATGATCCATCACCTCGATACCTCATTTTACCACTGTCAAGCATTTCACCAGTGTGAATAGTTGTCAACATATTTACTTCATGTCTGTCTTTCCGATGCACTGATAAAATCTTGTCACATTTTCTAAGTTGACAATCACCCACACCAATATTAGTACATTTTAAAAAACTAGCATTTCTTTTGTATGTGTCTTCACAGTGCCACACACTCGCGTGTTATATTCAAGCAGGAACTTTGTTAGCAAGGGGCCCATATAATAATTTTCAGTGTACAGAATGTGCCCCTTGTTCAGCAGTGGTTCTATTAGCATCCACATCAAACTGCCGAAAAACTCATGAGGATCTTGAGCGGGAATGTTTACGTCTGTACCGGAATATAATATAATGTCCATCAGCATTCCAGTTTCACAGTTGCACCGTACAAAGAATTTGAGGCCAAAATGGTGCTGTTTTGATGGGATGTACTGTTTGAAGAAAAGACGTCCCTTGAAAAGAACTAGGGATTCATCAATGACAACATTCTGTCCTGGTACCTGGTCCTGGTAGTCCTGGTACAAAGTAAGCAGGAAATTTCCCCTCTGATATCACTGAACACTTTTCGCACTTTCCAAAGTCGATCATTTCGATCAACATTTTCAAAATTTCAAAATGTAGGCACTGTAGTAGTCTCAGGAACCTGTATCGTGATATGTATTTGTTGAACACTGGGGTGGGAACGGCACATTCTTTGTTCCAATAATCCTGTGTGATGTGATTCGCAGGATGTTTCATAAGCATACACAGAGCTAAGAACACGTACAACTCAGCCACAGTGGTTCCTTCCAACGTATCATAAGTGAAGCATGTAATATGCCACCTGCAACAAGTTGCTCGGCATACTTGTTGGTTTCGGCAACAAGATGTTGCATGAACTGCTCATCAAAATATGCAATAAAATATCACTTTCCGTCATGTCATCACCTGTGTACGGGAACGTGGGTGCAACCCCCACATCACTATGATCAAATTGATGTTTGTGTGGTACAAAAATATCACAGTCCTCCCATACAAATTCAGCCGTTCTCCTTGTAGCACTGCCACGAGCGACTCCACTACGGGTGCGTTTTCTTGCACTAAATCTCCTTTGGGGAGGAGTTGGAGGTCTTCTACCTTGTCTACTAGTAGGGCAAGCAGGGAAAGTAGATGTAGAGGCAACACTGTCGTCAGTGTCGTCGTGAGGGGATACATGGCGGCGCTTGGCAGGGCGACCTGCTGAGATAGCAGATCTGCGCCAGGTAACACCGCGACAGCGGCAGCTGCTAGCCCTTACCTCATCTATGCTATTTGTATCAAAAACAGCATCACTAAACCCAGAAAATGACTCAATAGTATCACTTTCGTCAAAAATGGGAGATGGAGGTGGTGGTGGTGGGGATAATACTGGCAAGGGCGATGACCTGTGACGCTCCACTGTGCGTGCAGCTCGCCCTGAACGATACACGCTCACTGTATCGTCTTCATCTGTATCTATTTCACTTCCATCGGACCCTTGTGTTATGTCTCTATAGGTCCTTGGGTCGTCAATATAATATTCCACTTCATCTTCAAACAATAAAGTGTTTATCTCCCCTGGAGAAAGCGGTCTTGCAACAGTGCGTCCCACAGGCGACTGGGAGCTGGAGGTGCATGCATCAGCCATGGTTGCTCGATCAGTACTGAGGCTACCCTCGGGCCTGGGGCATTCTGGGATTTTTTTTTCAAAATGGCCGCCGCTCACTGAAGGCCTCAGGCATCCATCTCGTACACAACCAACTACGTGCGCGTTTCGAATGGGTACGAAAAAATCAAAAGGAGTTTTCTCGGTTGGCGCAGTTTCCCAACGACCGAGAAAACTAGGTTGGCACAGTTCAGTGGTTTTATACTCTTAATTATTTGTTCTTAGTTAATCCCCTTGTCACTAAACCTAGGGCTTTTTATTACCCTGTTAATTAACCATTACTAAGCTAATTATCTTCAAGATCATTTTTTTATGATTATTATTTTTCTTATTATTTTTTATTTTACATTTATATTGTCAGTCTCTACTGATTTTTTGTTTTTTATTTTATGTAACTTCTGTGTCCTCCCTGGCTATCTATTGGATCTTTATTTTACTTCTAAATTGTTACTATTTTATTGTATTTGCTTTTATTCTTGTGTTTTGCTTTATCGTGTATCTTGTATCGTGATCCCTCTGCATCTCTATGCACACTGATATTGATCCTGATCAAAATCTTCTGTCTCATATCTACACCAACCAGCACATTGATCATCATTATTGCAAGTATTTCACAGCACACCAGGCTAAAAACAAACTCCAAAATAGCACCTGTCTATCAGTTTATAACCAAAATGTTAGATCACTTGGTAAACATTTTGACGATTTAAATGCACTACTCACAGCACTAGGTACTAACCTATCGTTCATTATTTTAACAGAAACTTGGCTAAATAAAGACTATACCCAACTCTACAACTTAGCTGGTTATAAAGCCATTCATAACTGTAGGCCTAATAAAAAAGGTGGTGGCACAGCTATATATTACCGAGATACATTTATCTGCAACAGTGTTATTAGTGACAGAGATGACTACTGTGAATATACTTTTGCTCAGTTTACAATTAAAACCCTTAAATCCTCTTTGACTATTGGAGCCATCTATAGATTTCCCAATACTAACATAGCTTCTTTCTCAGACAACCTAAGGAATCTTATTATAAACAACAATCTCAACAAAAACCACATCATTCTGGGAGGAGACTTTAATATTGACCTGGGTCAACAAAATTGCTCTCAAGTTGACTATTTCCTTAACGGCATGAACTCCTGTATGCTAATCCCCACAATCACCAAACCTACCCGAGTCACTCAAACATCAGCCACTACCTTGGACCACATATGGACAAACATAACAGCTCCCCTTGTATCTGGTATAATCTACGACAGAACAACTGACCACTATCCTACCTTTCTCATAGCGAACATGGACATAACACCACCAAAAAGCAAGAAACTTTCATTTAGGCTACACAGTGAATCAGCTTTAGACAATCTTACAGAGGCACTTTACAATATTAACTGGGATTCTGAATTCAATAATACCCATGATATAAATTCATTAGCTAACCTCTTCATCTCCAAAACTCTAAGCCTCTACAACCTTCATTGTCCCCTT